ACTAACAATTAACTGTTCTTTAGTTTACTAGTAGATAAATATGTAGCTTTGTTTTGTTTTTCACAGTAGTGTCATGAATTTGTTTTTGCGTATCTGTTAACCGACTTAATTAGCTGATTATTAGCTGAATTGCTGTGTTATGTCTGTCATCGTTCAGGCCTATTTGAAGTTTTGGACGGAACTTGGCTCAGTGATTTGGAACTAATTACCAGATAACCGCCGCTATTTAGACTACTCATTCTGACAGTTTATATTCATAGTTATTAATGTAGTGAACGATTAATCAAAAGATATGACGTATTCAGTACTTAGTGTGATTGGCTTTATGATTGAAGGTTACGCCCTAGAGTCTTTTTACTGTTTTGTAATTGGTTAGAGTTTTGAAAATGAATAAAGAGAGTTTGAGTTGGTCTTGGGGAGCACAGCACGATAGACGCAGTCGAGAGAAGTCCTGGAAAGCCTTGGGACGAGTGTTGATGCAGTCTAAAAGAGTCTTGGGTCAGCCTTGCGATAGTCTTGGGGATTTTTCCCCAGGGCGCTGTGTCTTATAGAGTGCTCGATTGACCGACTAAGACGAGAGCTGAAACGTATTTCGTTGTGTGTGCCTTATTTGACTGTAAAGTATAAGTGACGTTCCCGATCCCATACCTCAAGGGGACGAGATATAGAGACGAGATTCCCCCCTGGCAAGTGTGGAGAACCCCAGAGAGAGAAGAATTACCCCCGTGATAGTAGGTTTTTGAAAATTTCATGATCTTCGAGTGACAAGATTTGATGTTAGGTCATGTGGTGGCGCTCTTCTCTTGAAACAGAGAATTAACAATTCGTGTCTAATTGATAATTGTTACGTTTCAAAAGTTCAAAAAGTTTCAAAATCTTCAATTTCACAAATTATAAGACTTATTATTCTATATTTCAACATGTATATGTGTACACGACAACATTATGATATTTTGAAAACAAATATTGTGATTACAGGTCGATTTTGTTGCGCGGATCCTTGCCAACTTGTCGAATAATGAATACGCCCTACTTTACAAACAGCTCAAGCAATAATGTAGGCTATTGTCCGCAAGAACATATCCGGGGTAAACGTAACAAATTGAGCAAAATCGATATCCCGCATGTCAATGAAAGAGGCGAGATGGGAGCCGTGACTCCAGTCTTCCTTGGCAATTATTATTTTTTGAGATTCGTCTGAATTGGGTAACGTTATTCATGACAATGATGAACAGTAGAGTTATTTCTTGTGAATCGTGCACCTGTATTTTATAATAAATAAATAAAAAAATAAAAAAATAAAAAATAAAATAAAATAAAAATATAAATAAATAAATAAATAAATAAATAAATAAATAAATAAATAAATAAATAAATAAATAAATAAATAAATAAATAAATAAATAAATAAATAAATAAATAAATAAATAAATAAATAAATAAATAAATAAATAAATAAATAAATAAATAAATAAATAAATAAATGATGACAATAGTGCAATTTGTGTATATTGTCTGATTTCATATTGATGTGCACCGTAATGACGAGTTGTGTTTTTTCCCAAATGTAAACGATGATTTGCTTCACTTACAATGATAAAAATACTGCGGATATATGAGCGCAGTCCACACAAAATCCATGACAGGAAACCCATATACTGACACTGACTGACTGTCACACACAACGTAATATTACCGTAATTGGTATAGTACAGGTGTGATTGTTCAAATACCAAAATGGCAACAGTAACAAAAAGACTTCCCTGGCGGCGATGATAAAATACGAACACGGAGCCAACAGATGAGGTTTCAACTGGTACTGGTATTATTATACTCTGCAACCATCAAGTACAATAACGTGGGAAATCTCCACTACTCCAATAACTAGATACTTAAACTCCAATACAATTTAACGAGATCTTCGATCTGATCTCAGTGCTGAACAACTCCCCTATATATACCCACACTGTATATAAATAGACCATTACATTAGCATACATAATGAGTCTAGAATTTACTACAAATTTCTAGAATGTTCCATTACCTTCTATTGCCTTCCACAGTGTCCTATTACCTATTCAACCAGTTTCTAAAAATTCCACCCAGACATATCGATAAAGAGCCATTGCTCGAAACGTCTAGCTATTTTTAATAGTTATTTAGGACTACGATTACCAAATATTATCTTCTATATATCACCCAGACACAGTACGGTTCTAGAACATTCTCAGTCACACGGAAGTGGTAAACAAGTCGTATGCGACACTGACACTCACGGAATCACCCAGGATATCAACAAGTGCAGCTTCATAAAAGGATGCCTCCAAGGGTCGATTCAAGTTCATGATGTCACTTGTTGTAAAGGTGATGACAAAACGATATTCTAAGCTATTCTGTAAACATGTCGCACAAATATATCGCTTTTCCTGACAAATTTAGAACACACGTCCTCGATTCTCTCTTTCACAACCAAACAAGCTGACGTTGACAGCAAAACGAGTTTTCTTGCCCACACATCTCGACCCGAAAAACAAAGAATACTAGTATGATGCTTTGATCTATGATACATCCAGGGACTTTATTACAAGCTATTAAACATTACACATTCTATTTATTATCATATAGAATAAATTAAATTCAAAAAGTACTGTATTTCAAAAACATTGAGATGACCAATATCTGACAATAAAGAGATTCATATTCTTCATAATTGAGACAGAATTTATCATTTGATTATTTGATATAAATATACAATGTATATATATATATACGTATGTATATATATACATACGTGGAATATACTATACA